AAAAAAAAACAAGGGGCACTTTGAGCAACATGCCCCTTGTTGCTGAAAATGCAAGGTGATCGGGAAAATGGTAGTAACAAAAGGCCTTTTTTCACAAAAAAAAAAAAAAAATTTACCAAAAAAAGGGCACTTTCAGCAAGTGAATATCAACAACAAGGAACACGTTGCTGAAAAATGGACCTCAATTGAATGGGGAAGAATTCACCGGAAAATATCAACAAGATGGAGTATGTTGCTGAAAGTTACTTTCAGCAACAAGAAGTATATTGCTGAAAGTTACTTTCAGCAACAAGAAGTATATTGCTGAAAGTGGAGCAGATTTTCAAGGGGTGGGATGTACATTTTTGTACTGTAGCACTTTCAACAACATGGGGTTTGTTGCTGATGCCTATTTTCAGCAACAAACAATCTCATGTTGCTAATTTATTGTTGGTAAAAGACAAAATTTTAGTAGTGTTACTTCTCCATTCACAAGACTCGAACTTGAGACACTACTTAAGAGGAACCAAACTTTTTCCACTTGGACCAATAGGTCGTTGGTATCATATAGACTTTTATGGTATGCTTTTAAAGTTTCCTTTTTGACCAGTTTGACAGAAAGTAGGCTTTATATATGGACTAAGGGCCTGTTTGGATCAGCTCCTAAGAGCTTCAACTTTTGGACACTATTCATGTTTCATGAATTAAAAATTTTCTTTTAAAAACTTACACTTTTAAATATTTTTTTAACCTTAAAAAGACTTTAAACAGTAAAAGCTCAAAAGTTTCAAATCCAAACTTTTCATAAACTCCCTTTTTACTCACTTTTCACTCACTTTTTCATATCTCTAAAAGCAAAAGCTCAATTTTCTCTCCAATAAAAATTTGAACTTATCACTCATAAAACAGTACTAAAAAAGCAAAAGCTTTCACAAACCACACCAAACAGGCTCTAAAGTGATAACAATTCAACAGTTAATAGACCAAATCAAATTTTAGCCAAAAAATAAAATAGTAAAACAAGAGACTTCCTCAAAATGCGGGCCTTGTGAGGGGAGATCTAATGGAGGTGCATACTAATGCTATTTTTTTATTTTTTTTAGAAAAGTCATACCAATTGTTTTACAATGCTGTTTACCCGAGGGCATTTCAATAATTTTTCTTATATATTGAAAAGTTAATTATTTATCATATAAATTTAAATATCTAACTCTAACCTCAACATCATATAAATTTAGATATCAAACTCATCCTCAAATCAAAGCACATCATTGGGCATTCCAATGATGATCATTAGATTATGGACTGCTGAAAAGCTAAAATGTGAGAGGAAATTCAGAATCTCGTCAAAATTGAATATATGATGATGAGTCGAAATGAAAATGCCTTTTTTTGGTACAAAAATTTCAAAGATTTGTGTTCCATGGGGTTTGAACATGCAACTTCAAGGCGTTTATTTCAATCCTTTGTCAAAACAAAGCATTTTTGTTTCTTTCTTTTTCCTCCCCCATGTCCATTCCTATTCCACTCCCCTCTAGTGCTCTCCCATTTCTTCTATTCTCTATACTTCTTTTATCGTGCTCAAATCGCACTTTCCCCAGACAATTAGATCTTAAGATACGACAAAGTCATTGGCTTATGTAGATTAAGGCGAGTAAGTGGATAATGGGTGATGAGAAAAAGCTTGGAGGGAGATGTTGTGCCAAGATTATGCCAAAATGAATGTTAAAGAGGTGACAATTCTTTTCATCACTGTCTCTGCAATTTCCTTTATTTTTCTAATTTTCTATTACTGTATCCCAAATTCAAACTGAAAATGGCTGTGTTGGACAAGAAGCACCACGCACTCATCCAAGCATTGTTGACGCGTGGTCTTTTGAGGGAGAAGTTCCACTCCGTTTTCATTGGCATCACTAGCCTAAACCTAGGTTTTATTTATTTTGAAGTTTTTTACTTTTCTACATTTTTTTGTCATCTACTTTTTTCTTTTGATTCTGAATTTGTTTTTTTAAATTTGGTAATTTTTGTTGATATGATATTTTTGTGATGCTTTCTGTTGAAACTCGAAATCGAAGATGAAGTAGTTATTATCAATTTACAGCTAAAGCAATGGTGTCATTGATGTTGGAGTTGTTTCCACTTCAACTTTAGCATTTTATAATAGTGATCACTAAAAAAAGGTGAAAATCCATATATGCCATAAAAATATTGGCTTGATCTTGGTCAGACCTATGTGTGGCTCACTTAAGGTTGAATTGGGAAAGTTGTACATGAATTACTTAATCTATTTACCCTTACCCATACTCTTTAACATGGTTGGGAAGTTTTAACATTTTTATAGTAGCAAATGAGTTATACAAAAGTATGTTTGGATGAGCAGGATGAATTTTGTTGAGAAGTGCCTTAAGAAGTTAATGTTTGGAGGTTAATTGTATGAGAGAGTCAAGTTTTTATGGTTGATTATTATGATATTTGTAGTTATTGAATTGCTTAATCTATGTCCCATACTCTTCAACGTGGTTAGTATATTTCATGTTGGCAATCATCTAAAACTATTTAAGGTACACATTGTTGTAGAGTACAGTGGTGCATATGTCAAACTAGTTGAGAATTTTGAGTTGGGTGTATCAAACAAAACCCTTGAATTTCTAAAGATGAACCGTATTGGAAAGGTATTTTCTGAGATGACATGTTGCAAAACAACAATCTTTAGTCATAATTCCATTGATTGTTATGGTGAGAATAATTGTCCCTCCCTCCCCCTAGCCCTTTGTGGTCCCTCGATGATTTCCTTCAAACTCATTAGATTTATTCAGTTTATTGCAATTGCTAGCTTGAAGGTTGACAATCCTTTATATGTTCTACTCTAATTGATTATGTAAGTCCTTTTATCATCCTAGTATCTTTTTAATTTTTTGCATTCAAGAGATATCTGAGTAAATTTTGTTGTGTGTCACACAATCTTTATTATGGTATATTTTCTTCATTTTTTAGCCCATTTTGAGTAGTGGATAAATTTTGTATCAATAGAGATTGATCTTAACATTTCAAAATGGTTTTATCCCAGTAAAGGATGTGGTGTTTTCTTTGCTCTTGTGAGTTGTTTTTATAGCTATTGAAATTCTTTAATAAGCAATTTTCACATTTCTCTTTTTGGCCGAAACATATTGAACCTTTTTTAAATTCCAAATTTCCTCTTTTTTTTTTTAGGGTTGCATAGGAAACATTGGATATGGGATTTTTGACTTAGGTGGTTGGGATTTGTTAATCGATATATATATATTTTTTAATTTTTGATTTTGATTTTGTTATCATAAACAGTAATGCTTGATGCATAATTATTATATGTGGCTAAAATTTTTTAATAATTGGAGCCTTACTTGGACGTTTAGAATGTTCTGTAACACAAACTAGGAAAAAAGACAATAAAGGAAACTTAGATTTTGGCCACTGTCTGTGAAGAAGTGTTGGCCATTTCTCTTTCAAAGGTATGTTTTTTTAATACCCAATGTTATCCATTTCATGAAACTTATAATGGCTATTGATTCCAACTTATGAATTTACTAAGTTAATTGGAAAACTAACCTTGCTTTCTAATTTGGCTAGGAGAGTATTAATTTGGCAAACTTCAGAAGTTATCGTTGACATAGTTGAGTCTAAAGACATGATTGAATAGAACAATGATTGATTAAGAAAAAGGAAATTATTGTTTCTCACATTTAATAATTGAAAAGCATATGATTCAGAATGAAAGAATAATCCATGTTTTTTTTTATTATTTAAAAAAGGAAGTTGATATCTTGATAAGTTGAAACTATATAATTATATGTTTTTTCTTCAAAGTGTGTACCTTGCTTATATGCCAAATGGATATAAAAATTAGCCTAATTTGAAACCTATTAGATTTCAACTTAATTTACAATTCATGACTTTAAAATTTATAACATAATAATATAACTCTATCTCAGTTAGTTTTGAATTGTTTTCTTTTCTTGGGACAAAGAATGTTCAAACTAATGTTTTTACTCTATTATTTATTATAGAGGTTTTGCATTAATTTCTCTTCTTTTATGTTAATGATAACAAGGAATGATAGATTAATAAAATCAAATTTGGTGTAGGCAAAACATCTAAAGTTGTTTTGCTTTAAGCTTGTGAGCGTAATTTGTTAGATATTAAGCTTGAAATTATGAATAATGGAACTTAATTATGTTAAGAAGATGATTGTGGAACCCTGCACAATGTTTGCCTTTCACAGTTGGGAAAAACTCCTTCTAATTAGAAGATAGGGATAGCCAAATGTAATAAAACATTGAGATGAGAAGTTGATATGATATTCAATTAATGAATGGAAAGATGGCATCTAGAAAAGAGACAAAGCTTCTTTTTATGATTCTACAATTTTTTCACATTTTAGTTTAGGGTACAAGTCTTCTTCTTCCTCTTCACCAACATTGCCTTAACCAAACGGCTAGATGTTGTGAGTTTATTTCATTTTCTTTAATTTTCTTCAATGAATTGTATTTTATCTTTTTGGTCCCTTCAATTTTCTTTTTCTTCTTCTTCATATTCCCCTTTAATACAAAAGGGGATAATTATTTCTCATTTTCTAAATCTCTTTTCACCCTTGTAGTCTGTTCCAAAAATTTGAATTTAAGACTTCTGAACCTAAAATCTCAAACTCTTCTATAAGTAGTATAGATGGGAATGGCAATAAAAATATGAAGTGAGAGTTGTTTACTTTGGAAATATTGTCTAAGAAGTAGGATTTGTTATACAAATTGTCTACACATGTATTATGTTACCATGTACATGATAGATAGCAACTGTGGTGGCATTTGCACCTTCATGAGTGTGCAGGATGAAGAAGACTCAAGGTTTGGTCACAAAAACTCCATGCTTATATTTTATTTTAATAATACAAAATATACCAACATCATCATCCAAATGAAAAAGATCATAATTATCTATATATATTTCTCACTTAGATATACTCTTTTTTAGTGGCTTTATTTGAAGATGGTTTGTTGGGAGAAAGGGAACACTAAGTACTGAGGCTGTAGCTGGAGGTGTTAATCCCTATCCTTTTGTGGATATTCTTTTTATTCTTGAAGTTTATCTAGGTTCTTTTGCATTGTGTGCTTCAACTTTTAGGCCTTTTGTCTATCAAGAGTGTTGACATAAAATTAAAAACAACAAATGATTAATTGTGTTTCATTTTTTGTTGTAGAAATCAATTATCTATTCAGGGTTAAACTAACATCACAAACTTCACTATTTAGTCTTGATAGTGTTTTATGAGACTCTGGTTGATATGACTTATGCAATGTGAAAATGTATTTTAGGAAATATTGATGACAAGGGAATATTATGTAAGAGATGCATTATATTGGATACTCAATTGAGCGATTTAATTGTGTGTGATTGAAAGTTCCAAACTTTGACAATGAATATATGAGGACTTTGTTTTGGCTATTATTGTATACTTAGTTGAGCCATTCTTCTTATCTCATTCTTTCATCTCTCTCTCTTTCTCTCCTTTCTTCTGTTAACAAAATTGAAAAGATAGAAATCCATGGAATCTGATAGCCTTGCACAGAATTCACTAGTTTCTGTATTAATTTATGAATTTTGTTTTTGTAAAACCTTTAAACTACAACATATGTTATATTATTGAAAACTTTACAAACCCCAATACTTATGTGTTCATTTAAAATTGACCGATGCAATGTTTGGCCACTCAAAGTTGGACTTGACACCATACCTTACAACACTGGTTATGGAACTAGTTTAGTAATAAATGTAGCAACAACAACATACTTCATATATTACTCATTGATCATCTGGGTTGCCATTGAACATCTTCTTAACTCTTGCCACCTTCAATGTTATAACCACAAGGATCCAATGTTGGACATCATCCACCCATCGAAAATAAGCATATCTCCAAGTTTTTACAAAAATTAGAGTTCCCACAACTCCCCAGAATCCAGTTGCAAAGCCTAACATCACAATGATGTAAAACCACATTCTTGTAAGTGCACCTTCATCGTTGTCCTTCAAGTTGTCAGTTGGGGGAGGTAGCACATCATTTGAGCATTTCTTCAAGAGTGGAGCTCCACAAAGTTGAGGATTACCGACATAAATGGTTGGATCTTCAAGTGTTTGGAGCTGATTGCCTGTTGGAATTGGCCCTGACAAGTTGTTGTAGGACAAGTTAAGGTGGCTTAACTTGGTTAAACTTGACATACTATTCGGGATTGTTCCTGAGAGGCCATTTTGGGAGAAATCGAGAGATTCCAAATTCTCCATTTGTCCAATTTTCTCAGGGATCTTTCCTGAGAGATGATTCCAAGATAGATTCAAAATGTGCAAATCCTTAAGGAAAATTAGCTCACTTGGTATGGATCCTATTAGATTGTTACTCGAAAGATCTATACTACTCTCAAGTCCTAGGGTTTTTCTTGTATACTCAAGGTATCTCCCTTTCACAACCTCCTTCAAATGTGCCCAAGACCAATAATCATCAGTAATGCGTTTCATCAATTGTGTTGCATTCACCATAATTGGAAACTTTCCAAAACAAGGAGGAATCCTTCCTGTCAAATTGTTATCCGCAAGATCCAAAATTTGCAATTGAGAGAAAAAGCATAGTTCCAAAGGAATATAACCAAAAACCAAATTTTTTCGTAGTCGAAGAATTTTTAAAGAATGGTTGCTGATCTCGCCTCCTACAATGCTTGTTAAATTTCCGAAAAATTTATTTTCACCCAAATCCAAAACCAGTAAAGAAGTGAAGCTTTTCAAGGCCATATGTAGTTCCCCATTGAGACTATTGTTGTTCAAGTGCAGTACCAATAAATAAGAAAGTAACCCCATTGTGCTCGGAAACAAACCCGAGAGATTGTTAGAAGATAGATCAATAAAATGGAATGATTGATTCTTTCTCCAACAATTGGGAATACTTCCGGAAAACATATTGTTTGAGAGATCAAGAGCTTCCAAAAATTTTGAATTGCATAGCGACTTTGGAATCGAACCGTTCATGAGGTTATTTTTAAGATATAATTCTCGCAACATTGGCATCATATGATCAATGTTTTCTGGAAGAGGACCTGAGATGCTAGCATTAGAGAGATCAACCATGGTTGTTGTATTTTGCAATAGAAGCCATTTGGGAAATCCTATTCCCAATTGATTACTGGAAAGATCTATGCTCTCTAACTTAGCTAGTTGCCCAATACTATTTGGAATACTCCCACTCAATCGATTGCTAGACAGATATATAGTCTTTAACTTGGAAAGCTGCCTGATGCTATATGGAATACCCCCAGTCAACTGATTGCTTGAAAGAAGTATCTGCTTTAACTCAGATAGTTGCCCGATGCTATCTGGAATACTCCCACTCAATTGATTTTTAGAAAGATCTAAGAACTTTAACTTAGAAAGCTTCGCAATGCTATGTGGAATACTCCCACTTAATTGATTGCTAGAAAGATCTAAAGACATTAACTTAGAAAGCTGCATAATGCTATCTGGAATACTCCCACGCAATTGATTGCTAACAAGAGATAGCTGCCTTAACTCAGAAAGCTGCCCAATGCTATCTGGAATACTCCCACTCAGTTGATTTCCAGAAAGATATAAACACTTTAACTTAGAAAGCTGCCCAATGCTATATGGAATACTCATATTCAATGGATCGCCAGAAAGAAATAAATACTCTAACTTAGAAAGTTGCACGATGCTATCTAGAATACTCCCACTCAATTGATTGTCAGCAAGATCTATGCTCTTTAACTTAGAAAGTTGCTTGATGCTATTTGGAATACTCCCACTCAATTGATTGTGAGAAAGATCTATGCTCTCTAACTGAAAAAGTTGTCCGATGCTATCTGGAATACTCCCACTCAATTGATTGTTAGAGAGATCTATGCTCTTTAACTTAGAAAGTTGCTTGATGCTATCTGGAATACTCTCACTGAGTTGATTGCGACAGAGATATATGCTCTCTAACTTAGAAAGTTGCTTGATACTAAATGGAATACTCCCACTCAATCGATTATGAGCAAGATCTACGCTTTCTAACTGAGAAAGTTGTCCGATGCTATCTGGAATACTCCCACTCAGTTGATTGTTAAAGAGATCTATGCTTTCTAACTTAGAAAGTTGCTTGATGCTATCTGGAATACTCCCACTCAATTTATTGCTAGAGAGATCTATGCTCTTTAACTTAGAAAGTTGCTTGATGCCATATGGAATACTTCCACTCAGTTGATTGCCAGAAAGATTTATGCTCTCTAACTTAGAAAGTTGCCCGATGCTATTTGGAATACTCCCATTCAATTGATTGCCATCAAGATCTATGCTCTTTAACTTAGAAAGTTGTCTGATACTATTTGGAATACTCCCACTCAAGTGATTGTGAGAAAGATCTATGCTCTCTAACTGAGAAAGTTGCTTGATGCTATCTGGAATACTCCCACTGAGTTGATTGCGAGAGAGATCTATGCTCTCTAACTTAGAAAGTTGCCTGATGCTATTTGGAATACTCCCACTCAATTGATTGTGAGAAAGATCTATGCTCTCTAACTGAAAAAGTTGTCCGATGCTGTCTGGAATACTCCCACTCAATCGGTTGTGAGAGAGATCTATACTCTCTAACTTAGAAAGTTGCTTGATGCTACCTGGAATACTCCCACTCAATCGATTGTGAGAGAGATCTATGCTTTCTAACTTAGAAAGTTGCTTGATGCTATCTGGAATACTCCCTCTTAATTTATTGCCAGAGAGGTCTATGCTTTCTAACTTAGAAAGTTGCTTGATGCTATCTGGAATACTCCCACTCAGGTTATTGCTAGAGAGATCTATGCTCTCTAACTTAGAAAGTTGCCCAATGCTATTTGGAATACTTCCATTCAATCGATTGCCATCAAGATCTATGCTCTCTAACTTAGAAAGTTGTTTGATGCTATTTGGAATACTCCCACTCAATTGATTGTCAGAAAGATCTATGCTCTCTAACTGAGAAAGTTGTCCGATGCTATCTGGAATGCTCCCACTCAATTCATTGTGAAAAAGATAAAGAGATATTAAAGAAGTCATGTTTTGGAGAAATGTAGGTATTGGACCTTGGAAAAAGTTCTGTGAAAGATCTAAGTACTGAATATTGCCAAGCAATGTAAAATTAAGCGGATGGTTGCGAGATGGCAAGTGACAATTTTTGAGACTACAGCTTAATA